GACTAGAACAGACTAGAGAAGTAGACTGATAGGAACATTGTGAAGGTCAAGAAAACAGAAAAGCAGTATTTTTTTTTTAATCTTGGAAGGAATAACACCATGTGACAGTAAATGCTGTAGGCCAACTATGCTGGAATCAGTTCTGTAGGGAAATGTCTTGTAGTCCTGTTATGCAGGAAGTTGAACATGAGGCTGCAGTGTGCTCTTGCAGCAAAGAAGGGCAGTAGCAGGCTGGGCTGTGTTAGTCATGGATATATTGGAGCAAATCCAGCAAAAGACCACAAAGATGATTAAGGAATTGGAGCATCTGTAATAAAAGCAGAGGCTGAGAACTGGGACTACTCAGCCCGATGAAGAGAAGGTTCAGGATGAACATCATCAGCATGTCTTAATATCTGATGTAAGTGAAGGTGACCAGGTTCTTCCCAGTAGCAGGGCAGGAGGCAATAGGCATGAACTGAAAGACATTCAATTACATTCCAACATTAAAAAAAACCAACAAACCTTTTATTATGAAGGTGGTAAAACATCAGCACAGGCTGCTCAGAGAGGCTGTGGGGTATTAATTCTTGGAGATATTCAAAACCTGATTGGACACTGCCCTGAGCAACCTGTTGTAACTGGTCTTGCTTTGAGTGGGGGTTTGCACTGGACAATCTACAAAGCTCCTTGCTATCCTCAGCCATTCTTTGAGTGAACTGTGGAATCCAAAGATATGCTGTGTACTGGTTCCCTCTCCACTTGTGATTTGTGCTGTTAGAGAATTGTATCTGAGATGGTACATCTGCTGTTTTTCCTTGAAGTTTTAACTGCAAGTATCTAATTCCAATGAATTTAAATATATTTATTATTATTATTTGCTGTCTAATATCTTTTGTTACTTAGAGACAATCAGGAGATGATTGTATCAGTGTAAAACCAGAAAACACCATCCTTCTCTTCCCAAGTAGAAAAAACTTACTGCTGGACTAGGTACTTCTGCATTTTTACAAAGACTGCTCAGTTTGAGACATATACAGACCAATTATGTAAGTCTGCTCTTTCCCATAACTGGAGGAACAGACCTCTGTACTGTATCTCCCTGTCTGTAAAACTTGTTGATATGCATCAACTCTGAAAGCCCGAGCAAGGTGAGAGTTCGTTGGTGTTCATGCTGGTGCTCATGCTGGTAGATAGTTGGGCATGAAAAAGACTGAGCACAAAAGGTGGAAAAAGGCAGGATGAAGTGATATTATCTTTCCAGGTGGCTGTTTCCCAAGCTGACAGTTTTTGCGTGTTTACTATGCTGACTGTATCACTCAGATCATCAGCTGTGATTTGATAAGATTCCCGAGTCTGGTGGTCTGGAATCAGTCTAATGGATTTTTGTGTTCGTATGCAAAATGAAGTATAAAATAAACTCATTGCTGAGAGTTGGAACAGTTACCGTAGGCTGCTAACCATATGTGAGAGCAAAGTGCGTGACTTTTATACGATTAGCATGAATCAGAGGTAACCTACTATTTTTATTGCATTGACATTCCTATTAAATTAATTTGCAAAAGCTGAATGTTTGGAGTGCTTTAGACGTTATTAACCACAGATCTTTTAGAATGAGGGTTGTTTCTGCTTACAGCACCTTGATTAATGTGCAGTGTGTGGTCTGTCCCTTCAGATTCTTTGTGATTTCTGCATTTGAAAGAGGCCATAAAAGGAAAAAAAAAAAAAAAGATGCAGATGCTTTTCAAGTATATTGATGTCAAATGGAGCTGAAGGCACTAAAGATGGCATGTCATTGGATGGATACCACTGGCTTTCAACATAAAAATCTAAATATAGAAAGAATTAGACAATTGCTTGTAATTTCACTAACACAAGTGCCAAGATTCCTCTAGTTTCTAATGGGGGCAGGAGCTGACCTTTGCTGTCCTCATTTAAACAATACAGAAACATAATGGTAAGTAATTAAGAGACGTGGGCTTTTATCATTTTTAATTCCACGAAATTTTGTGTTATTGTTTATAGTATTTTTTTTAACTCTTAAAATATGTAGTTATGTAAATCTCAGATCTCTTCATGCAGCAAATATCTATATGAGTTTGGAGGTCAAAGTCTTGTGAAAATGTACTGAGTGTAGAAATTAATCAACATACAAAATGTAATGGATTTGCAAGTACTAAATAAAATGTGAATTCTGTTTTTCTCTTACAAAAACAAAACAAAACAAAACAAAACAAAACAAAAACACACCTCTGTGATTTATTTTTATAAAAGTAAGAAATTGCTGTTTGACAGTCCATCCCCTCAAGAATAGTAGCTTTCAAAAAGATGCTTATCAAAAATGATGTCTTTAAGCACTTTTGGTATTTCCCACTGGGAAAAAGATGGAATATCTAGCTGTTGTTAAGTGATGGAGGAGTAATGAATTTAATCAAACAACAATAACAAAAAAAAACGCCACATCACCACAGTAGCATTGCACTACAGAACCTAAACCAGAGCTGAATGAAAGTCACTCAGAAGGCAAGAGGTGAATGTGTAGCTTTGTATTTATCTGGGGCTCATCATCCAAAAGCAGAATTGAATTAGGGAATATAACTTCCCAGAGATTAATTAACTAATTAATTTTCATTTGACAGCTTGTCGGTTTGTCTGTTAGGTGAAAAAGTTTCAGCACTTGCTTAGAAAGGTGTTTTTTCTGACTCATGCCTTCTACTTCTATATATCCAACCAATGTCACCATAATTTAATATTAAGCTTGTGTCTAATGCTCTGTATATTTATATTGGCAAAACTTCCCAGGCTCATACATTGCCTGCCTTGGCATTTGTATTCAGGTCAGTCATCAAAAAGAAGTAGTTGGATTGAATTTAGTTCTGTTTTACTGTATGTTAAGGGAATGGGTTGGCAAGTAGGGAAGGAATTGATTTTAGTTATAAAATGGATAGAAATCAGTCTGGTGTCACCATTGTTTTAAGTTGGGGAGGCAGGTTGCAACAGAGATCCTGTGAAGCAATGCACCACTGGGAGATTTGTCTCACCCTGTACTGAGAAGTGTTAATCACTTAACTGTATTTTTCACTCGATATCATATGTTCCTGCATTTAAAATGGAGTAAATCTCTGTTGGCTATTCTTGTTCCATCCTAATGAAAACCAGAAATAAAATGGTAGCAGGCAGAAATTTGATTCATCACACACATTTTTGTGTTTTTGGTTTGTGCCCTTACAAAGATGTAGGTGGTAATACTTCCTTCAGATAATGAGAGACAGAAGCAAGGGGTATACTGGTAAGATAAAGAAGGCCATAGCAACTTAGGAATGGGAAGATAGGAGGTTGGGTGGTCTCTTGAGTAACCTTTATACTAATTGTGCATGTGTATAATCTGGGCTGGTAAATTTTTGGCTTTCCATGGTGTTAATTTATGGATTTGCATGTGAAAATGCAGTAGTTTTAAACAGAATCCTATCCTGGAAGTGGTCTAGAAAGGCTGGGACATAGGAAGCACATCCAACAAGATATAGCCAGAGCCAGATCTTAAATATTCTAACTTTAACCAGTTGCTTTATTCACTAAGTGCAACCTATTTAGGTGTTTAATATTGATATATTTGTTTTGGGTATGAATAATTTATCAGCTTCTTCCTAGGTCCTTTAGTGTCTGGCACATTCCACTTCGGTTATTTGCTCATGTTTACTCTCGAGTCTGAGTTTTGCAGCTTCAAACTAGATTAGATATTGACAAAATATGTACTTGAGAAAAATCTCTCAGATTAGTGTTGCTTACATTGGGCAGCTCTAAGTCTTTTCAGGACATTTAACTTATTCACTTCTAGGCTAAGAAATTAACTGTTTTGAATGGATACTTCTGTGTAATTTTACCTATGCCTGCTGTCATGTACAGATGAATTAGATATCTGAAAGAAAAACTGCTATATTCAACAGAAGAAGATAACGGTAAGGTTCTACTACTATGCTGTGTCTCAGGTTGTTTCCCAATAGCTAATTTAAACAGAGGAGAATTTACCTAAAATAATCAGCATTTATTTATTTATTTATTTATTTATTTATTTATTTATTTATTTTGGTACAAATTATTATTTAGAGTTGTATCTACAGGAAGCAATTAACAGAGATTGGATATACCAACCTTGCCAAGAGGAAATGTGAAACTGCATTCATTGTTTGTGGAAGATGCTACTTTGGAAATCATAATTCAAGGCTGTTCCTCTTGAGCAGGAAGACTGCCTGTAATTTTGCTTGTAATGAGCTTGTAAATTTTATCCATTGATAGAAAAGTCGTCTCAGTGTTAATGGCAAGAGAAAGCATCTGGACAGCAAAAGAATGGCTGCCAAGCACACAGTAGAAGGCATTTCAAACTGAGCCACAGGAAAGAATTAAAAGAACAAAAAATAAACGTAGTGTGGGAGGAAACTCTTAGATTTGCTGAGGAAGTGGTGGCTCATGTATCTGGCCAGAGAAAAGAGCCTTTTTTTCCCCAGAGGTCTGCCAGGTTAATCTGTTTCTTTGCTTGTCTATGTATATTCTTTACTGGTTACATGTGTATTTAGATGTGAATAAGTTATTTTGAGAGGTTCTGTGTGCACAGATGTGGGTTGCTTGGAGTAGGTAAGGTGGGGGATAAGTTGTAAGACTTGCTCATGTTTATACCCATTGGGCCTTGAGATAAACATCCAAGATAACGTGTAGAGAGAATGTTGCATTTTGACTTCAGTGGTTACAGATGTATGTCTGATGTCTGAGTTTAGCAGCAGTTTCTTAGGAAGGAATAATCTCTGATACCTGGTTCAGTTGAAGGCTTGAGGAAATAGCTTTCCTGTCTTAAACTTCTCAGAGGCAGGCATGGCTTAAGAAGGCGTTTTGTCACCCAAAGCACTCTGCTTTCTGATATATATTTATCAGAGTAGCTCAGGGATCCACTGATTGAACAGAGACATGTAAAAGCAAAATAACTGTGTGTAGAGAATCCCGTATACAAAGACTTTGATTTTTTTCCGTAGTGGGAAAAGTACTCCAATCATACCAGAGAAGAGGAGGCTTGGAGGAGACGTTATTGCTCTCTACAGCTGCCTGAAAGGAGGCTGTGGCAAGGTGAGTGTCAGTCTCTTCTCCTGCATTAAGTAGTGATAGGTGATAGAGAATGACCTCAAGTTGCACCAGGGGAGGGTCAGGTTGGATATTAGAAAATATTTATTCTCCAGAAGAGTGGTCAGGCACTGGAATGGGCTGCATAGGGAAGTGGTTGAATCACCATCCCTGGAGGTGTTCAATAAATGTTTAGATGTGGTACTAAGTGGTTTTGTGGTGGTAGGTGGAAGGTGGAAGGTTGAACTGGATGATCTTGGAGGTCTTTTCCAACCTTGGTGATTCTATGATTCTATTATACTGGCTCTGGGTTGAAGTATTTTCTATCCTTTGATTAGTAACATATTAGCAAACCATAGGTAGGTCTCATAGCATGTGAAATTATGATGATTAGCATCATAGTCATTATATGATCTCAATACATTCAATGTCTGTTGAACATAGTAGGAGAAAATCTTGCTTTAGTTGTAGACCAATATAATCTTAGATTAGGTATGGCTCTAAAATATACAGTAGAATAAAAGTGTGTGACAGCCATGCTTGAAATTATTGGAGATGAATATGTATAGTGTTTCAGGTAGTTAGTGAGCTGTATAGTGCACTCCGAGTACAGCAGTGTGCTGTTGTACCTGATGTACCTGATCTGATGGCAATATTACCCGAGTGTTTCATTGTATATGAAAACCTTATTCTTCCTCAAAAGGACAAGGAGCAAAAAGAAAGGAAAAAAGAAAAAAAAGCTAAGGAAAGAAATTTCACATCAGGTGAAATATAACTTCCTGTTAATTACTTAAATAGTGCTGTATTTATAATTTGTCATTTGTACCTCAAAGGGAAAATGTCGTGAAAACAAGAAATTTCATTCCAGTGATAATTATTAGACTGATTAACACAAATAATTATTAGGCCGAGAACAGAAGTTCCAGCATGAGCTGGAATGTGAGTCTTTGGAGAGAATAAAATAAAGAATACCAGAGTAAAAAGATACATAACTCTGGGAAGATGCACTGCCTTCTTTCAAGCCAAATAAATCAAAATAACTGTGGTCACAGTATTCTGTAAAGTGCTGCTATTGCTCTATTCTGTGCATCCTCAATAGGTGTATTTTTCTGTGTGTGGTATGGTTGGATTGAACTATAGGTCAAAATATTCCATCTGGGTGGCTTGCATTTCTATCTAAAAATATGTGTGTCAGGTCCACATAGAAATAATCTGACTTTCAGAGTCACCTAAAATTATCTTAAATGTTATGTGGACTTTAAGATTCTCCTTGCTTCTATTTCAGGCTAAGATTTTTAGGACACCAGATACAGGAATAAGTGCCCCTGCTAACAATTTTATTTTCAGATTTGTTAGCGCTAGGGTTTAGCCATGTAAAATGATAGCTAGTTTTAATGTAAATTGAAATAATTTCTATGCTCACTTTTCTTTTTTCTTTTTTGTTTTCCTGTTATATTCTCCTTTTTGCTGTCATATACTTTAGCTTTAACTGTTGTAAGATTGGAGCTATTTAACTGCAGAGTGAAAAGATCTTTAGTTTCTCAAAGCAATAAACTATGTAGTTAGTGGTTTGCCACTAAATAGTAATGATAATGGACTGTATTTTCCTTTCTTCTTATGCTTTTCATATATTCCTCAAATGTGTTTTTTTTCCATGAAAATAAAACCATTGTGAGATGTTCAGTTTCCACTTGACATAGTGTTGGTCTGTACCTCTTTACAAAGATATTGCTGAAAAGAAACTGGAAACATCCAGACTAATTCTGCCTGGATAATTCTTTAAGCAGTCTCGTTGGAGAGAATGTCTGGGGGATACAAAGATAGTGAAATTAGTGACTACAGCCTGTGGAAAAATAGGGACATCTGGGAGAAGGAAACCCCAGTTTAGTGAGAGCAGAGACATCCAGAGTCAGACAAAACACCTTGTGCTATGTCATTGTTTCTACAGAGATTTTGGGGTGAATGCCTTGTCTAAGCTGGAAGAGATGAGGGAGAGGACTGCTGCCTGCCTTCCAGCAAGGTGATCCCCTGACAGGATATGTATGTTTCAGAGATGGTACTTGTGATTGTATGTGCTGGGAGACACACTAGCATTCCAGCAATTTAGCATGATTAACATGATAGTTAGAAGAAACTGCATAAGGAGCATCTTCTTCCATTCATCTGTTTTCTATTTGCCACAAAGGTATGTTTCTGGGCAGCGTGACTCTGGTGAAGGCCCGTCCCAGCTGTCGATGCATAAAGGTGTAGCGTGTCTCTCATGGTAGTTTTGCTGATGCTCATTTCTCAGGTTGTGTGCGTGTTTGTGCTTTTCCAAATATCTTAAAATATATATATATTAGTTTAGGGTGAAAGTACTTGGTTGTTCTTTGAACTTAGATAATAAGAAAGAGATGTGTGGGGTAGGAATAGATGCAAAGGAATTTAGGACTCATTCAGTGTGTCTTTGACAATTTATGACATGTATTCTTAGCTTTATGAATTTAAACCTTGTCTCTTAATATAGCCTGTAATTATTCCTCAGGGTACTTCAATTATTGAATGCCTATTTAAAGTATCTAATTTGCTACCTTTGTCAGATTTGTTATTCAAGTTCTATCAGCATTAATTTAAAACAACCCATCTTTTTTCTCTTCAGCGAATATTTTCCAATAATATGGTGAAATAAATCCTTTCTTTCATGCTGAAATTGATTTATTATCTGAATGTTTGTGCTTGAATAGAAAAAAATATTTATCTGTACAAATTGACATTTTGTACATAAATTCAAAATTGGATAGCTGATCCTTTTTTCAGTTTTGCTTTAAGTGACATAGTTTCTATTCTTGTTCTAGTGCTAGATAGTGTTACAATTTAATAGGACAATAAACTACAAATTACTGATTAGAAATGCTACACTGCATTGACAACTAATTTTCAAGACAGATAGATTCAGTAACTTGTCTATGTTGTGGAGTAAGTAGCATTTTGCAGCACTCAAAGCAATGGCTGTTACGTTTCCTGTACCTATGTAAAAATACCTTACAATGAAGCTAAACTCGTTCATGGATGTGTATATTTATGTAACATACATCATATAAGTTGCATGAACTCCCCATGCTCCTTCCCCAGAGTAGATCCTTCTCAGATCTTTCATCACTCTATGACAAAATCAGTAAAGGTTGAAGTTATGCAGGCTGAACCCCAAGTGAGGTTGGGCACTTGTAAATACAGTGAGAACTATGTAACTCTGTTCAGAGCTGTAAGAGGAACTCCAGTCAACTTGCCCTGTGTGGATTATTTTAGCACCTGTACTGGAGTGGCAATCTTTGTTCAAGGGGACTACTGGCCGAGACTTCTCCATGATACTCTTCCATGGCATTTTTTTCTGTAGTCCTCTTCTCATAAAACTGATAATGCTGTGATAACCCTTTTGAAAAGTTTGTATTCTCCTTTGTTTTTACATCTTGTTTCCCTTTCAGAAATGGAATAGAATAGAACATTAGTGACAATGACAGTGAGAAAAAGGTCTGATTTTAAAAATATGTAAAGCTATGCTACCTTGTCAGTCGCTGGCTCTGCTTTCCTTTTTGTTGTTGACAAGAGGATATGAAACTGGTGGTGGCAGTGTTAAGCAGCACAGAAGTTGGAATGTAAGTGCAAGATAATTTCTGTATCCTGAGATGAACTTGGTTAGCCAAGTTGGGTAACAAAGTCTGAGCACTTTGGGATGCCAGTCTAGCAGTAGGAACTAGTCAGAAGCAAGCATAGTTCTTGTAGAAAGCTGCAAAGTTGGTCTTGTGGGAGGAGGTTAAAAGAAAGTCTTTTAATGGTCAGTGAGAGTGGAGGGATGAGGATCTGGTGGGCAGCAGGTTTAGAAAGTGAGGTGTAGATTGGAAGAAAAGAGCTCATAAGAAAAAGGGAAAAAAATCCATTATAGCTTTCATAGGAGAGTGTTTAATTATCTCCAGCACAAAACAGCATTTCAGTCCTAATCATTTCCCATGCAAGAAGAAAATGAGGTAGATAAGCATCACCTTTATTGTTACTTTTGATGACAAAGATTAAGAAACTTACAGATGTTTCTAATTATCTGGAACTATAAGGGGCCTAACCTAGGAACTCAAAGGAAAAAAAAAAAAAGAAAAAAAAAAGGCTATATTTTTTTGTTTTGTTTTGTTTTGTTTTATTTTTTGTTTCAGAGAGCTGTGTTTGGACAGATACCAAACCTAAGCTGTAATCAGCAACTCAAGCTCTTGGTTGTGAAAGGTAAACTGTCCATCCATTAAAGTTTTATTTTCCACGAGAGGCAGATCAATAGCTGAATAATTGATTGGCTGACTAATTGAGAAGCTGAATTATTGAAGATTTTAAATGTGAATTTCTTAGCATGAGCTGGTTAGAGCCTGGGATAAGTGCCAGGAGAAGCTTAAGGTACATGAATGGAAGTAATTAGGTAGAGCTAGTCAGTACCCTTTACTGAAGATAAGATTATGCATGTCAGCTCTTGTTCTATGTATCCTCAACCTGTTATTTCTAAAAGTAATAACCAGTTGTTTTTTTTTTTTTTTTTCCCTCACTGGGATCCTAGCTTTCCATATCCCCATACGTCCTGCTTCTAATACCTCTTGGCAAAAAAAAAGCTTAACTGTTAACTGAATGTTATGATGCCGTTCAAAATTGTAAAAGGTGTCAGGCTGTGATTTTGCAACAGCTTTGCTCTTTTGTGACTTGATTGAATCCAGCAAGATTGGATTTAAATCAAATTGCTCCTGTGCTGTTGGTTGGAAAAAGCTTAAGTGAAGCATTACAGTGTTTTTCCTATCCATTCTGTTTGTTATTTATGTTAGGAAATGAGTATCTTGATGTTTGATTATATTTTTAAGGTACAATCTGCTGCTAGGGGCTGAACAAAGCTTTTGGAATGGAGATGGGAGAAATTTTATAAGTGCATTTTATGCTTAGGTTTTTGTAACCCAAGGCCTGACCACCATTCCCAGCTGGATATCCTAGCAGAAAGTGAAGGG